AGTGTTATAATGAAAAAAAAGCATGTGTTTTAAAGCTAAAAATCTTTTATTTTGGGCTGTGAAGACTGTAAAAAAAGCGACAATAGAAGTATTTGAAAATAAAAACTTTTTTAAGCTTATAAGTACGTATAGAAAACTTGAAGCCTGGATTTTGGATAATGTTTCTACAAGGAAGATAAAACACGAAGGCCTGTAACGGGCATGTCTTTTAATTTTGATTTTTAGCAGTATTACAATAAGAAGAAAACGTGAATATTTAAACAGGCAAATCCTTGGATTTGGGCTTATTACGATGTTATTAGGAAGAGAGAAAAATTAAGTACCTGAAACTCGAAAATTCTAGAATTCGAATTTTGAATAGTGTTGCATGGACGAGGAAACACGTATACTTTAAACAGGAGAACCTTCAAATTCTGATTTTAAACACACACAAAAAAAAAAATACGAATACCCTTGAATTCGGATTTTGGACAGTGTTACAAAAAGGAGAAAAGCAAACGCCTGAATAGCATGAATTCTTGAATTTGCAAAACATTTACTGAACATTACTTTAGTTCAAAATGTTAAAATGAGAATTATTTTTATTTCGCTTTTCTATAAACCTCTGATGATATAACTCACCTCGGTAGCATATATATTAACATAGACTCAACATTATATGGACTGGGCAACCTCTCGTACAGCAGGCCTCGATAATATTTTTCAATGACGTATAATCTGGAACAAAAATCATGTTATTACTAGAAAACTAATTAAGCAATAAGGGTTAAAACAAATAACATAAACAAAACTTTTACGAACCTAGGAACACCAACGGCGGTCATGTTGTCATATTTCGGATAACTGTATTCATCTGTGTAATATTTAAAGTCCGACACATAGCGGTGTCTAAGACTGTCTAGTGTCACAAAAATCATTGTAGCATGGAAAGTTTACCTAAATTTCTATAATGCATTCAGTGCAAAAAAAAAAAAACAGAAAAAAACACTTTCCTGGTAAACGCACTCAAGATGATGAGAACCTAGAAAAACTCAGAATGAGGATTTAAAATAGTAATTACTTGTTTTCTGCTCAAACCATTTTTGTTGCATCTTAGCTTTAGTCTGCTGAAGCAGCTTTCGTAAATAAAGATCGCAGTAAGTAGATAATCATAATAAATACCTTAAAAAACGAAGAAAGATAATTGTTTTTAAACATAAAAGTCAGTCGCATAGACATGTAGTGATATTGCTAATATTGTTATTAATATTCATGTTCTTGAATTTCGAATAACTTAACCATTTTGTTCGATTAGCTTTCAGTAAATTGATTACTGGTTGCACAGAAAGTAAAAAAGATAAGTTTTTACGTGACCGTGTAAATCTAGGCATGTTATAAACCAAAATGAAATGTTTTATGCTTCTCTTGGTTTTATATGTGAAAACATTACAGAAATTACTTTTCGCAATGACTGTAATGTTTTATTCATATAAAAACCTTCAATTTTACGTAACAGATATGTGCTTCTATATTTTTGCGAATAATCTAGTTAAAATTGTCATGAATTATAAACTTATAATACTAGAACAAAGGAAGGTTTTCATAAATTCAAAATTCAGGCTGTTGTTCGAATAACTGTCGCTAACATTAAGGGCCCAGCTTCTGGGGCTAGGGAGATGGTTTTAAAATGGTTTACTTACCACCAGCTTTTCTTGCATAACGGAAAAGATAGGAATGGACACTTCGTTTCGTAAAGGCACAAAAGCGGCTCATAGCTTTTTTCATCTCATGCCCATTACAGATGTGTATGTATTCTTCTGCTGATGTGTCTTGGAACTGATGTACCAGCAGTTCCACAATCACTAATAGCAACAGGAACCTCATCTAAACACGTAAATGTTAAAAGATAAAACCTTACACACATCTAGAAACATTGTGAAAATGTGCTTTGAAATTGATGCAACAGAAAAGTCACAATTACTATTAGCAACAGCAACTTCGTCTAAGAAATATAAAATAAAATATGATCAAACGTATAATAAATGGTAAACATCTACGAATGCTTAGGAGAGTGTGTTTGCTTTCGTAATTTTACCAAAGAACAAAACTAGAAAAAAAAAAAGAAGGAAAAAAAACCCAGTAACAATGGTACAAATAACAGTGAAATAAGATATACATAGAAATTGAAGTATAAGAAAAATTATTTTCCATCTTACGCCTTGCCAAAGCATTTCACATGTAAAAATAAGTAAAATCTAGGATAATTTGGACTATCTACGATACAGCTATACGTAACAAAATACATCTAAAAGTAACATATAAAAATCTTTTTAATTTTCTTTTTACAATCTAAGTCTGAATAAGTATCCCATTTGTACAACTGTCTTCCATCCTTAAAACCTTAACTCGGAGTTTATGTTTTCTAGCCAGCTTATACGATTTTTCCATCCATGCATTCATACCGAACAAGATGGTTTGGTGTTCCAACGTACCACATCTTCTAACATTCTTACATCCATTCAAAACGAGCAGAGAGATTTCGTATACCAGCATACAGGAATATGTAGCCTTTCTCCTTCCATTCAGACCCAAACTCAGTGATTTTGTGTTCCACCCCTCCAATCATTCAGACCCAAACTCAGTGAATTTGTGTTCCACCACTCCAACCATTCAGCCCAGACTCAGTGATATTTTATATACCAGCATATAGAATTACCTAGCACTCCTTCATCTATTCAAACTCGAACTCAGCTCAGAAGAAAAGGAGAAATTTTCAGACACAAAGTCGAAGTGACAAGACCCCTGAAATTCGGTTCAGGAACAGATAGGGTGTTTTGCTACTATACCTAGGAAATGTATAAAAAAAGTAGAAAGTGTGCAGCTAAGTATGGTTTACCTAATTTTTGATTTAATAATCTTATCCTTATTTTTTCCCTATAACTACATCTATGTTTCTTACGCTTACTTTATACTTTAGTGAAGAAACTGAAAACAAAAATGCAGCTCTATTTGTGTGCATGGAAAAATGTCGAAAGTAAGATTCTCTTCCGTTAAAAAATAAAAATAATTCTCACAAAGGAGTTGGCTCTGTAGTTCGTGTTTATAGGCTCTAGAATTAGAGCAAAATGAGCGAACTAAATATTCTAGGACAACTCAGAAAAATACAAATAGTAAATCCCTTAGCTCAAATGTTAAGTTTACTATTTCAAATATCATATTAATAAAACTGTTTAGATAATTTTTTTCATTATTAACTTCACCCTTTTTGCTAAACAAAGATATTCGAATTATTTGTTACTTACTTAAGCAAGCTGTCCACAGAATTCGGTATTCACAGAGAGGACTAGTGACTTTTCGACAAGACCACGATCTATTGTATTAAGAAATGTCAGATACTATCACCTGAACCGATTGAATGTGAGCGCTTCCCGAACCCTGCTGCCACATATAACGAGTTTAGAACATAACAGTGATATGTAAGAACATCGTTCTTAATGTCACGTGACATTTTAGAGTTTTGGTATGTTTGTTACTGTATACCATACTAATCGTTTTACAGTTTCGAAACATAAGTCCTTTTGTAATCAACAATTTACAATATGAATTCCACACTGCTAGCAAATTCCATTTCACTCAAAGAATTTTATTCAAAAATAATAATAACTGCATCTGATTGTTCTGTCTACCAAATATAATTAAAAAATAGCTACATAATCTAATTTCACCTATTCTGTACTTCTCAAAATCTCCTATCCAATAATTCAGAACAGTATTTATTATTAATAGCGTCTTTATTTATTTAATTAATTTAGATAAGAAATGTTACAAAACAGTGTTTTTTTTTCTTTTCGGTAGCTCTTCTTACAACAAACCCGGCATGGCCAGGTGGTTAGGGCGCTCGACTCACAATCTTAGGGTCGCGGGTTCGAATCCCCATCCCTCCAAACATGCTCACACTTTTAACCCTTACGGCCAATCCCACTATTCGTTGGTAAAAGAGTAGCCCAAGAGTTGGCGGTGGATGGTGATGACTAGCTGCCTTCCCTCCACTACTAAATCAGGGACTGGTAGCGCAGATAGCCCTCGTGTAGCTTTGCGCGAAATTCAAAACCAAACAAACAATCTTACAACAATTTAAGTCGACTAAGTAGTATAATTTTGAATATGCAAATGAGCAAGTCACTTGTTAGCCACCGCCAATATAAAGTTGCGAGGGGAGAGCTGCAATTATGAAATATACATTTTGACTGTGTTTGTCGTTTCATAGGTAGTATGACATAATCGAAAATTGAATGCTTTTGGATTGGATGTCTAACAACTCTTTCCAAAACAAAATATTCATACAGTCTGATCATAAAGACGAGTTCAGCTTTAGAATTTCCAAGATAGGGATATCTTTTGTACTTAATGCCATCGGAAAATAACAGGAATATGGATCAACTTTGGGAAGAAGGATCATCCAGAAAAAAATATCTCCAACAACTCCAATTTTGCGCAAAGCTACCCGAGGGCTATCTGCTCTAGCCGTTTCTAATTTAGCAGTGATAGATTAGAGTTACTCTTTTACCAACTAATAGTGAGATTGATGGTCAGATTATAACGCCCCCACAGATGAAAGGGGGAGCATGTTCGGTGACGGGGATTCGAGCCAGCAACCCTCAAATAACCAGTCGCAACAACTCGTACCCAAACCGTGATAAACAAAACCATTCACACGAACTAGATAATAGTGTGCAAGATAATTAAAAATAACCTTCGTCTTTAAAAGCGACGCAAATCACGTGCAAACAAGCTGTTTTCACAATATATCTGTTCAACGGTCAAATACCTAAAGCAGCTGGAGAATGAAATGGGTATTCATGCTGTTCTATACAAAAACACACTAGTTATGTTGCCAAATATATAGATTTTTATGCTACTGAACTATTCAAGCCGTCGTTCTCATATGCTAGACGGATTATAACAAGCCTAAAAAGAGGAGTTGTGTGCTTTGAACGCAACAGTTTTACAAGTGAGCATTTTATAATGAAAATTAAACGCTGCAGGGCTATTGACAAGATGCATTGTCGTCAGAGAGGGCACGACCAGGCGTGGTAACACGGATTTTAACGACGTGACGAGGCTACAAAATCATTTTAATATAACGCACTCAACCCCTGTATTAGAAAATGCTGAAGATTCGGTAATCAGAAATTAAAATATGCAATTGAATGATTCTGAAGTTTTTATAAAGTAACTGTTTTAGTTTTCAGATATTGTTAACGAGAACTGCTTTAGAAGATAGCCTTTGTAAACAGTAGCCCCTCAGTAGCTCAGCAGTAAGTCTGCAAGCTCACGACGCTAAAAACTGCTTTTCGACACCTATGGTGGATAGAGTACAGATAGCCAATTGTGTAGCTTTGTGCTTAACAACACCAAACAAAACAAACTGTAAGCAGTATGGATCTAAATAACAAAAAGACTGTTATATGTATATGATTTGAATCTAATAACCTATTCCATTTATATATATATAGTTAATTTCATTAAATTCTCCTAGTTATAATGTTATGGACCTAATATATATATATATATATCTTTTATCCATCATCACGATGGTGATTATGAAAATCACTTTGCATTGCCAATTTGATGTGTGAGAATTTAGGACTATCCTAAGGAACCTAAGATGAACGAACTTGATGAGATAATATTTGGATTACAGACAGAAAATAATGTTTAAAGCGGTTGTAACCTATTTAATCTAATCATTATCAGAAGGATTTTTGTTTATGTATAACAATAAGTATTACTGGTTGATTTGTTATAATTGATTGTCATTATCGTCACTCGTTTAATGGTATTTTATTTTGTGTGTGACTGAAAATAGATATTATTATTTTATGTTGTTGAACTTAGAAACTTTCTCAAAAGTGAGTATGTTGTAAATAAATTGTCTCTATTTTCCCCATAAATTATTAAGGCTTACTGGTTCCTCAATGAGTAACAAAAGAATATTTTTTTAAAAAAGAGCTCACTTTATAAAAAAATTGGTAGTTATAATTTGGAGATGTAGTTTTTGACCCCTCGGTGGCACGGGGGTAAGTCTTCAAACTTATAACATGAAAAACCGGGTTTCAATACCCGTGGATAGGCACAACACAGATAGTCCATTGTGCAGCTTTGTGCTTAACTGCAAACAAATATCTAGTTTTCGTTTACTCTGCAGTTCTGCTGTTGATAACAATAATTTTAATATATGGCTAAGTAAATTCAAAATCTTGATGGGCTCGCTTTAACGCTTTAAGTTTTTATTTTATTTTTTATCTCAATCAGTATAAATCGGAAGTATTAAAAGCATGGTGTCTCTTAGAGGTGCATTTACCAGTTTTAAGGCAAAACGGTAATCGACGGTCTTGCCCAAAACAATTTACGATTAGATTTCCAAGATGATCGAGAAAAGGTGAATGTTTCATATATTTGCTTCTGAATAATTGTTTTTCATAGTTATATATATGTCTGTATATATAGGATATATATATATATATCTGTGCTATAGAATAATAACACTCGTAATATTTTCTACTCTTAGATTTTAGTTGAAAATAATCACTAATTTTCAGTTTGAAGTTTAGCCGAAAGAAGCAGATATCATTATATATATATATGTATATATATATATATATACGTGAAAGTGTTCTGTTTCAAGAGTAAATAAAACCAAAATTAAGAGTAATAAATATTTTGTTCTTGCTTTTGAAGTTCGTATGTCATGCTGTGTTATAGCCTGCAGAGTGCATAATTCTTCTCGTGATTCATGGCATGCACACGTTTTACTGACGTCACGACAGTATAAATTGCAACGTTAAGCATCCCTTATGTGACGTCAGTCAGTCAGTAGACGTAGTAAGAGGTTATCACAGGTGACTCCTCCAAACGGCTTTTTGCTCCCTTTCGGAGAAATAAATATACACTACTCACAAAAATTAAAGTATAATGAGGTTTTGATAAGTTCTTTCAAAATTTGAAAAATAAAAACGCAGAGAGACATTCAGTATTGACAAAATTTGTTTATTACAAATATCGCAGGTAAACAATACCAAGCAAGTTGAAAAATTCATTTAGAAATAGCAAAAAAAAAGCAAAATTAACGAATATTTGATTGCAAAAATATCAAGGAAAAATAACTTATTAAGGCGAACAAATTAACAAAATAAGTGTTCAGCAACTGGTAGGTTCTCCTCTATTGTTTATGACTTATCTGCACCTATTTCCCCATACTGCTGATGACATGTCGGGTAGCTTTCTGGGACAGTACAGTCTACTCCTGGACGAAGGCAACTCTAACTCCTTGACAGTCGTCGGAGCAAGTTGTCTTTCTCTAACTGCTCTCCCTAGCAAGTTCCACGCATGCTCAATCGGATTTAGGTCAGATGACTTAGCAGGCCAATCGAGTACCTCTATACCAGCGTTCTAAAAACTTACTGTACAATCCTGACGGTGTGAAGACGGGTGTTATTCTGCTGATACAAGAACTCATCTCCGACAGCACCAGCAAAAGGACGAACAATGGGTAGCAGGATCTCATTAACGTAACGTCTTGCTGTCATGGATCCTCCATCTACCACAAAAGGACGAAACAATGGGTAGCAGGATCTCTATCTACATAACATCTTGCTGTCATGGATCCTCCATCTACCACAAAAGGGGGAACAATGGGTAACAGGATCTCATCTACGTAACATCTTGCTGTCATGGATCCTCCATCTACCACATACAGATGCCACACCAGAACATGAATGAGCCATCTCCAAAGACATCATGGTGGATAATGTTACAGACCGAATATTGCACTTCTTCACGTCTCCAGACCTATACATGTTGAACTCTCATCTGTAAACATTACAAGAGTCCGTTGCTGAAGGGTCCAGGTGACAGGTTCTTGGGCAAACGCCAGCCAGGCTGTACGTTGCTTTGGAATTAGTATAAGGACTCTAACTGGTATCCTGAACATGAGGCCAGCGTCATTGAGGTTGTTCCTGACCGTTGAGCATGATACACACACTCCAATGTCTTGCTTAAGCTCATTTCTGAAACCCCTAGTGTTGCTAGTGTGGTTTCCTCAGATATCAGTCGTCTACTATACCTATAGCTCGTCCGCGACCCTGGCCTGGCCTTCTGGTGTATTCTCCTGCGGCCTGGTATCTACTGACCACAAACTGTGACATTCCTATGACCTGTGCCACCTCAGTCCGGGTGCGGCCTTTCTTAAGTAGCAGGACAGTTTTGCAAATTTCAGTTACAGTTAAATGGTTTCTAACAGCTTGCACATTCTTTCTAAAAGTCAACACCAGCAAATAAAACGATAAAAACTAGTATTATCTCAACTGGAAATATCTTTCCTGATCAATCAAAACTAGCCTTTTGATTTGTAGAATTTGGATTACTTCTTATAAAG